AGTCAAAATCTTAAGTTTTAGTTTCTAAAAACTCTTTGACAGAATGACAGACCTAGGTTGCATGAAACCGGAAACATATATGAAACGTAACGTTTCGAAACGTGGAAACATGATTTTCAAAAAAAAAAAATAGAAATAAAAAAGTCTATAATGTATATATATATATATATATATATATATATATGATTAGTCAACATGTAAGCTTTTTCTTGTTTGATTTATCTAAGAGAAAAAAATTAAGTAATATAAGTAATTTTTTGTACATTTTATTAAAATTATAATCAATAACTAGAAAAGTAACACATATTATCATTCGATAAAACTATGGAGAAACTTCATTCCAAATCAAATCATTATAATAAAATGATAACAAATATCAAAAGATAATATTAAAATATAAAATAATAAACAGAGAATCACTAACATCAATAGCCAAATAGTTATTTTTGCGTTTCTAAATTAGAAGCGCGAGTTTCCAAATCAGAAACACAAGTTTTCATCTTGTGTTCCAAAATAAAATTTTCAAGAAACTTCCAAAGAATTTTCTCAAGTTTCCGATTCCGAACCGTTTTCGAAATACGAAACGGACATTGAACGGATTTTCCATGCAACCTAGTAACAGACATTGTACAACAGTTTTTTGAATGAATTTAACATTATTTCAAAAAAATACTTTATACTATGAATCTTTATTAGGGTTAGATCTCGATCTAATCGAATAGCTTATATACTTTGATTACAAAATACTATTAATTAAATATACCTTCAAATAATAGTTATTTTTCCCAACATGAAATATTTGTTGAAAAAATTATTCTAAGAAGCCATGAATAAAATTTAGATAAATTATTTTTAATTTATTTTTATCGTATTTTTCATAAATTAATTTTTATATTTATTTAGAAACCACAAATTAATTTTTTTAATAATAATATATAAAATGATGTATTTTCTCAAGAGAAGCTAGAGATCGTCAAAGGCAGAGAATCTCTTGCAATTCTAACTATCTTATCAAATAATTCTTTTTATCTTATAACTAACTTTGTGATTTTTCATAAATGGTATATGTTTTGTAATTTCTTGTTCTATCTAATAAGAATAGCATCTCTTTACTTCTAATGTTTACTAATCTCTTGTGTCTATATTTTCCATCAGTTTACAAAATCAGTTTAAATATATATATTAATCAAACTACTACACTGCCTTTATCTCCCAAGAGACTATGAACGCCTCATGTGGTGTATCAGTGGAACCAACTGCATTCATCCCTTTCTCCCTTCTTACTTCTGCTTCTCTAGAAGCTTTCTTCTTCCGAGTTCCGAGTGATGTCCACTCCATAACATTTCGCAAGATCACATTCGTTCTCATCGCAGCCTCTCTCGCAAGGATCTTCGAGCCCACTTGTATCATCATTGCAAACATGTGCCTCTCTATGAAGTTAATGTAGCCGCTTCTCAACAAGTCCTTTATTACACGGTAATCTTTCTGGCTGAACGCATCAATTTCTTGCCCCTTCAAGAGAATGTCAAGCTTCACAAGTTCAGGTACGCCCGAGGGGTTTTGCATGTCCTAACACTAAAATTATACACATGTCCATTTATTTTGAACTTTCACTAAAACAGTTTCTACAGGTTACAACATTCTTTATGGTATGTGAGAAACATTCACAAGCTTCTCTCTAATTACTCTTTAACTAGGTGTTTTGCCCGCCACGCGGGCTTAAGTGTTTTATAATTATATATACTAATTAAATATATCACTAATTAAAATTATAAGCACATATTATTGTTTGTGTTTTCATTTTGAAAATTTTTTATCTTAAGATTATTCAAATATTATTTTTTCATTTATAAAAAATTAAGAATTTTAATTAATAAATATTTAATTATTGTTTTCTGTTTTTGAATTTTTAAATATTTTATGAAAAGATAGTTTCAGATAACAATACAATATATATAGGAATTATCTTTTTAAAATAAAATATATTTTTTGATTTTGGATAACTCTTATTGTTATTGATTAAAATAAATTATCTAATAAAATAAATTAAAATTCGTTTTTATATATAATTAATTTATATAATTTATTCATTAAGGGTATAATCGATATTAACCACTCCAACTTTTAACGTGAGAGCTCC